CGACAGCTTGTTATCGAGTCAAACCCTGCCCCTATTGCAACAGGGCGGTTCACGATTCCCGCCGTTGTTGTAAAGTTGTTGGCCATCCTGCAAGTTGGTCAGACAAGTCTCCAGTGGCTTCTTCTACCGCCGCATCTCTGGCGGGACAAGGTCAATCGAACGATGCCTCTTCATCTTTTGTTGGTAATGGCTGAGGCCATGTTTCCTCAATTTATGCCAAAGCCCAAGTTGTAAATATTATTGGGACAAATTTGTAAGAATATGTGGCCCGAAAGCATTGGGCTCACATTTAATTATCCTATTGGGCCAGACCTTATTTAATAGTCAAACAAATCTAAGCCATTAATCTGGATATTTGATGGACGTACCAGATCTAAAGACACCCCTATATAAATTAGTCCTCTCTCCTCCTATTAGGGTACGCAGTTTTATCCCATCACTTTTCTGCTACGTTAAGGAACGGTCAGGAGGGAGAAACTGATTTAGATCTAATACTCGATTCAATCTCTTGTGATCATCAAGATCAAGATCACATATTATGTCGTCTTCCGCATCAAGTAAGTATTTCATGTACACCAAATTATTTATTCAAGATCCTTAATGATGTTTACATGTGGTATCAGAGCATGTGTTGTGAATAAATAATTTGTGTATTTCGTATAAATCGTATGATAGCTGATGAATGTTCTAGCCGATCGTATTGGATGCATAATTTGTCCGCATCGACAGCCTTAGGTTATATGAAATTTGAGTGAACTTATGAATTATGATGAATTTCGCCCGTGCTGATATATATGGGAATTTACTGGAATTGAATTAATCATCCGCATTGCTGTCAATGTGTTCGGATTTTATTTGGACAAATAAATATTGTGATTGGTCCCACTACTGAACGTATCAAACTTCCGCATCAATGTTTGTTTGATCTTGAGCAATTGTTGATTTCCTTGTCATATATTTGATTGCTAATATTAAATTCAATTAGCAAGACATGATGTTGTGAAGGATTTATTTCCTTTCATTATCTTTTGTGGAATTTGGATATATGAATTTTGGAGTAATCAAATGCTCAGTACAAAATTATTTGCTGGGAACAAATATATTTTGATTAATTGAAATTTATGTGTTTTAGATGATAGTGATTGAGTTAACAAATTCCCATTAAGTTTATGAATAATAAGGGTTAGTTTGTTAACATTATAATTATTTGTTATTATATGACATTAAAGCAAAATTAATTTGTTAGTCACCAAAGTGGCCTAATTAATTTTTAATGTTCAGTCATATAATTTATCGTTATGAAGTTTTATTATATGACATTAAGATAAAATTAATTTGTTAGTCACCAAAGTGGCCTAATTAATTTTTAATGTTCGGTCATATAATATTATTGTTACAATTGTTTATTATATGACATTAAGTGAAAATTAATTTGTTAGTGACCAAAGTGGCCGGATTAATTTTCTAATGTTTGGTCATATAACTTATGTTCTCTTAAGAATGTCATTATTTAAGATAATGAGTTTATTGGTTGTTAGAAATTATGGATTTACCCAAAAGAGAATCAATGTTCTATAACT